GGATTGAACATCATATTATAATATCCCCACAACCATAGGCATAGAGGCTTGATTTTGACTGGGGGGACAAGCAAGTTTTGCTCAAAAATATAAAATCAACCTTAAAATCATGTACTATAACATTTAAAGTCCCTTGAAAAATATTGTCCCAATGACTTCCATCTGGAACTATATGGCACTGAAGGGTTAAAAAGGTGTAAGTGAAAATGTAATGTGTGGGTAATACATTTTCTGGAAAGGCATAATCAGTTAGATAGACATAGATATGTATGGAGCTTTTGCCCAAAAAACTATTTGGGCCAGAATTTGAGGGGCAAATGCTCCCTTGACCCCTTTGCCCCCTATGCCTATGCCCACAACTGAAAGGGTGAGCACATTTGGCGATGAGATTCGAACCAGCCATCCCCAGATTGCAAATCAAGTGCCTTAACCATCAGACTATGCCAAGCCTATGAAAGTGAAGTTTGACCTTGTTAATAAAATCATCAGGATAGCTCTGTTCCTTAAAGAATCCATTCATTTTGGTGGCTTTAAAATTCAAGTTGATGTTGTCAGAGCATAGACATCTTAGACATAAAAACTGTCCCTTTGGAATGGAATGTTTGTCAATCATTACTCAAAAAAGTTGTGGTTCCATCAAATGAACTGTTGAAGAATTATACAATATGTATTATGTTAATTGCAAAATATAATATTTAAGTACAAACTGACACAGACCTTCCTGAATCAATCAACAGATACAGCATTTTTCCTAAATACTTATAATTCTTGTTAGCTACATAATTGGTTTATAATTGTCAATTTGGTGTTCTGAAAAAAGTGCATTTGCTCAAAACTGGAAATGTCAAAACATCCATAAATAAAAAATTGAAACTAGCTTAATTTGATTATTTTTTGTCATTGGATAAATTCATATACCAGGTATTGGAGAAGTATAAGTCCAGAGGAGTGAATAGGGAGGCTACATCCAAACATCCTAAGTGCTCCTTCAAAGTTTGGTAGAGATCAATATAATACTAAGCAGAACATATATGGGTCCTCCAGGAAATGGCATATCCAATGTTATCCTCCTATGCTACTCTCTAGAGGTCCTAAGGGTGTATGCCAAATTTGGTTGAGATTAGTCAAAAAGTGTAGTTGTGAAAAGCAGACTCACTGACAAAACTTCTGCTTTACATATGTACAAGCTGTCACACCTGTTCAAATGCACAGGTAAGAAACAGGGAGTCAGAAGTGACATAAGGGAGCCAAATCCAAGTGCCATCTTCCACTCTAGGGTGTCATAAGGGTACCTTTGAAGTTTGGTAGAGTCTGACTAAATAGCTTGGAGAACACATAAAAGCTATTGAATGGTGACACAAAGAGGCCCCAAGGAATGACACAGGGGGAGGAGTAGGATCCAACATGCTGATTTTGGTAACAACTGTTTCAGCAGTTTGCTAGTTCTAAGCAGACACACACATTTTTGTTAAATAATGGTTTACAAGATAGCTATAGATGACTGAGAAATATGTTAAAATGTTTCCCAAAACAAAAGTATAGTGATCCATTGAATCACCAGTAAACAATTTTATCTCTAGTTCTCACTAACCCTTCACCCCATAACTCAGTGGAAAGCTTCAGGGCTTATATACCTAGAATATGTGGTTCAGCCCCAGTGGCAGATACAGTTTGAATAGCACATTTTGCAGCTTCGTAATAAAACAAACAAATAAAACAAAGTTCTTAATAACTATAAATTTCAGTACCAAGTAAGCCCCGACACAATGGTATTTAAGTTTTATATTATTGATACCCACTGGTGACATGTTGTTAATTTACATGTATACTAAAATCCTTAAAGGCAAGATTTCTACATCAATAATTTTTAAACGTCAGTACTTAAAATTCTCCTTTATTCAACACCCTTAATGAGAAATTAACGAGTTATTTTTTAGGCAGTTGTTCTAGTTTTTAAATCAAAACCTAAATTATCATTTTGCAATGACTTTGAGTTAATTACCAGCTAAGGTTTTTTCTCATCATCACTACTTCTCTAGCGCCCTCTGGTGACACTCATTTATTTAAAAAGTCAATCTGAAAGAATACTCAAGCATTCAAGTGCACGAGTTTTTATCAAATTAAAGATAAAAAATCAAAAGCAAACAAAGGTTACTACAACAACAGTGAGTTTTAAATGAAAACAAAATTCTCATAACCACATATGAATCAGACCGACAATCTGATACAAGTTGATGCTGTCTGTATGTTTAGTGAACAGAACAAACGTCTTCGTTTTTTTCGACCGTGCTGGAATAGTCTGTCTCTGCCAGGAGAATCATTTTGTAAATATAATTGAGAAACAGTATCGTTAAGTACACACACACACACACACACACACACATGTGTGTGTGTGTGGATTGACTATATTTATGTTCAATACATTGTCCTCAAATCCAAGTACAATTATAAACAAACGGCAAATTATAAAATAACATCACAACTTTTGTTTCTTTTACATTAAAATTCAACCAGTGTTTTATCATATTCTATAAGCCTCAAAGAAAAGAAAAATATTCATATTTTATAGCAAGAGTTTATTATATTTTCTCTCTGTCTCTCTCTCTAGGATTACTTAAATACAGAACAACAAGCCA